CACATGGCGCGGAGCGTGGGGGAGACGGGCGCGGCAGCACAGCCGCCGACTGCGCAGCGACAACGCCAACAGAAACAACAGGTATATGTACGGCGGGACAAGGGGCTTCGGGCGTGCCATACATCACAGTGAAACTGTGAGTTTCTGTCAATCCAATACAATCCAGTCGAGTACACCCGAGGGATTGCCCCGCACGCATTTCTCCTCTCTCTCCCCGCCACCCGTCCCACCGCCCCTCCAGTTCCAGTTCCAGTTCCAGTTCCAGTTCCAGTTCCCGGTTCCCTCCCTTAGCTAACCCTAAGCCGTTCAACCCCGTCACCAGGTCTCCGGTTCGGATCTGCCTATGGCCATCGACCTGTTGGTGGTTGAGGACCTGGTTCTCCGGTGCTCCTTCCGCGCTGATGCGGCCTCCCGCCCCCGGTGGGCGGCTGGGGGGTTTTTGAAGCTGGGACTGGACCTGGCCCAGCTGGAGGACCTGTCGCTTGTGCTGCCGGGTGTGTAGGAGAGGGAGGGAGGGATGGGGAGGGAGGGAGGGATGGGGAGGGAGGGAGGGATGGGGAGGGAGGGAGGGAAGGAGGGAGGGAGGGAAGGAGGGAGGGATGGGGAGGGAGGGAGGGAAGGAGGGAGGGATGGAAGGAGGGATGGGAGGACTTTGTGATGGCTCCGCGTGGAGTGCTTATTTCTACGTTCGTCCCAAGCATGTATGTATCTGCGTATGTATGTCCTGTCAGGCATTGAGGTCGAGAGGACGCGGCTGCTGAGGTCTGAGCTGCTGAAGAAGGTGTACGACAGGCTGCAGGTGTGTCAAAAGGCCGATCGCGCCGTTTGCATTTCCATAGGCTGGTGAAAATGGCAACATGGCTTAAACAAACAATGCAAAGACGCAAAACAACAAACTTTTACTACTATTAGAACCATTCGCGCCTGATGCGTTTTCTTTTTGGACTTTTAGATGGCCCATTGTACCCCTCGGTGGAAGTAGTGTGTCGTTTTCTTCTCTTTCGCAAAAGCGCGCGGGGGGCAGCGCAATAGGAAGTGCGTTTGCGCGTGGGGAAAACCTAGCGGCCCTGTATGTGTGTATGTGTGTGTGTGCATGTGTGTGCATGTGCGCGCACGTTCACCTGCTTCCGTTCAATTTTCGGAAGCGCGCATCTTTCCGTCGCTGATCCGGATCAGAAGCTCTTTCCGCGGCTTCAGAGCTCCACTTCGACCGGCCCTCTCTGGACTTCGCACACCCATGCATGCGGGTTCGTACGTCAACAGTCAGTGATTTGTTTTGCGTCATGATGTTACACCTGTTCAAACATGCACGTAGATAATGTGTGCACCGTACCTCCTACCTCCGTTCCCCCGTCCACACTGCCGTCCAGGAGCGAGTTTTCTCCCTGGCGCTGGCGGTACTTCGATCCGCGGGCCTTATGGGCGGTCTGTCCAAAGTGCTGGCGGTGTCGTCTGCGGGGGTGGCACAGCTGGCG